TTGAGGACAGCATGGGTGCACCCCTCGGTCTGTGAGGTCCTCATTGCCATATCAGGGGCCTAGTTGTTGCTGCTGTTTTATATGTGATTTGGCTGGAGTAACTGCAATTCCTTTTTTCTCCTTTACGTGCAGACACTTGTCACTGTATCAGCTTTCCCTAAGGTCTCAATTAGTAACACAATAAATGTTCCATGAGGAACCTATGATTAAACCTGTTTTTTAAAGGTGTCTCTGTTTCCTTTCCTTTTGTGATAGAGAACAAAATTATGTTTCCAATTTAAAATAAATCTGCTCTATTATCTTGGAGTTTGGTTTGGCTTTTCCCTTGCCCCCACCTATTTGCCACTAACATCGTTAGTGGAGAAGAAGCCAGAAAACAGTATAACTAGTTTAAACTAATCCTACGCTCTACATTTCCAACTGCTTTCCCAAATGACGTGCAAGTCTGGATGGCACTCTCTTTTAAGGGGTGTGACAAAGTTTCTCCTCTGCCTCAGTGGGTCCTGTGCTTATTGGCGGATTTGCTTGCCTCAGAGATTCACAGCAGCCCTCAGTTTGGCCACTCTTGCTAGTGGCTCAAACCTGCCATCCACTCAGCTAACCTCATCACTGGCGAGCATGGGGGGAACGGAGAACAATCCCCGCAGTCCCTGTGTCCCACCTAGTGGGTTGGGGACAGGGCAGATCCCTTTGCAATTTAGACCTTCCGTTCTGGTGTTTCTCACAGACTAGGTTCGACGACTCCTGTGTCTGATCAGGAGTTGGAGGGATGGGGCTGGGGGGGGAACCTGGGCTCACCCTCTACACCGAGTTCCAGCCCAGGGCCCTGTGGATAGCAACTGGCCATAATGTTCCCTGCATCAGCTGCGTGACAGCTACAACTTCCTGGGCTACTTCCCCATTGCCTTCCCCCCAGCACCTTCTTTATCCTCACTGCAGGATCTTCCTCCTGAAGCCTGATCATGCTTGAACTCTTCACTCCTCCAGCAGCACGCCTTCTCACTTCCTGCTCCTGGCGCGCTCCCTTACTAACTGATGGTAGGTCCTTTTTAAATCAGGTGTCCTGATTAGCCTGCCTGCCATAACTGAATCTAGAAAGTTCTTAATTGGCTCCAGGTGTCTTGATTAGCTTGCCTGTCTTAATTGGTTTTGGCAGGTTCCTGATTGCTCTAGGGCAGCCCCTGCTCTGGTCACTCAGGGAACAGAAAACTGTTCATCCAGTGGCCAATATATTTGCCTTCTACCAGACTCCTGTATCCCACTGGTCTGGGTCTGTCACAGGAGGTAATAAGTTGCTCCCTCACTGCACACTTTAAAGAAACCTAAATAATTCTAAATCCCTTATCTATTAGACTCTGATTTCAGAGTGATGACATAGTCCTCCCCAGTGTATTAATTAATGCTAGCTCAAATAATGGTGTTGCACGCACATTTTGCTAATTCTCTATTCATCTCAACTTCCCAGTTGATAGCAGGAAGTGGGAAAGCATGGCTAGAAGTGATGATGAGAGGGTATGTGTGGCCTATTTAATTCATTTGTAAAGCATTACTGTAGTATCAAATTTCCTTTGGCTACAACATGTTTAAGTTTCATTCTTGTGAAAGGGAAATAATAATGACAGTGGTGTTGTGAAGCTTACCGTTGGTAAAATGTTTTGCAATCTTTAGGTGAAAGATATGATGTCTGTGCAAAGACTAGTATTACTAGAGCTGATCGACTTTTTTCATCAAAACGTTTTTTGCCAAAAAATGGCTTTTCAACCAAAACCAAAACAAAAATTCATTGTGGTTGTAATTTTCCATTTTGTGATGAAAAATGAGGAAAAAATATTTATTTTTCAGTTAAAAATATTAAATATTTGTCTGTACACTTTTTAACCTAAATCTGACATTTGTTTTTCAAATGACATTTTTTGTAACAAACAAAAGTAGTTAGGCTTGGTTTTTTTAATTGAAAAAGCAAAAAATGTTGACAGGAAACTTTGGGGGAAAGTTTTTTAAAAATTTCCAGTGAAAACATAATTAGCATTTTTTCAGTCAGCTCTCATGAGTGCTAAATGAAAAATAAAGTTAATTGAACTCAGTTTTGTGTTTGGTTTTAAATTGTGGCAAAGATTCTGGTCATTTCTGTCAACATTTCTGTCAACGTATGGCTTAATTATTGATCATTCAACAAACCATCCAGAAAGAATTATCTTATTTTTCTCAAAAGTTCCCCAATCACAGGGATCTACAGGTGTTGACAAATCCATTTTCACTTATTTCCTATCTGTGAAACCAGTATTAGATCTTTAATGAAATTATGTATTCAATTTTATTAATATTTTCATTACCTAATTGTATCCGAAATCAAATCACAGCATTTTCTCCAGTGGAGTCATGAACCTGTCAACACATACATATTTTTTGGTGATGTTAACAGTTTAAGCTCAGAATGTTTGTTTGGTACAATTTGCATATGTGAAAATGACTAGAAGAGGCTAGAAAATAAAACAGTGTTAATTGCTGTTAAATACTAGATGTTGTTCAGTTCATCTGTGGTGGGTTGTTGTTGTTGAGATTGGACTCCCATTTGCACTCCCAAATTTGTTGAAGGAGTTGATATCATGTTGATGTCTAACTATAATACCTGGTTGTACCAGCAAACCAGGATATCACATGCTCCTTCAATTGTTAGTGTCTCAAGTTGTGGTTGGAAAATGAGAAGTTAAGTTGAGCCTCATTTACTTATCTGGTTCGCAGTGTACACTAACAACATGAATACATGGGAAATTGCAATAACTATCTGATTTTTTTTTCCTGTTCAAGTAAGCCAGATGATTGGGAAAGCATTTGAGGAATATTTCTCATCCCAAATGTCCACATATCCTCCAGCAAATAATATCAAACACCAGATTGTTTTCAATCTCATTTTTCAGACTGTCAGCCAAATGAGCACTTCCACGTACATGTAAATATTCATGGTCTTGAAAGGCCAGGTGCGTGAGGTAATATATTTTATTGGAACAACTTGTGTTGGAGAGACAGACAGGCTTTTGAGCTATGCAGAGCTCTTCTTCAGGAAAGGTACTAAGAGTACTTCTTTTTCTCTGGGAAAGGTACTAAGAGTGTCACAGCTAAATACAAAGTGCAACAGATAGTTTAGCATAAGTAGTTAGCACATATTATAAGGGACCATTCAAGCTCAAGTGGCCCATTAACATCCCTGTAGTCATAGGACAAAAAGGGGGTTAGTGGGTTACAGATTATTGTAATAAACCATAAATCCAGTCTTTATTAAGACCATGATTTTTAGTGTCTAGCAATGTTATGAAATTGAGTTCCCAGGCTGTTCTTTTGAAGATGTGATGCAGGTTTGCTTTGAGGATGAGGACTGGTAGGTCAGATGGAAAGTGATCACTTTGTGAAAAGAGTTCATCCACGGGTGATATGATGTTTTTGTCTTTTACCATTTTCCTGTGTGAGTTCATTTGAGAGCATAGTGATTGCACCCGCATTTAGTGCACTGGATGAGGTACACTATATGTTGTGATAAGCATGTGTAGGACCCATGAATGTTGAAAGGTGTGTCCTGATCTGTGGGGAGCTTTCTTCTGATGATGAGGTTGGAGAGTTGTTTGAAGGCCAGAAGAGGGGGTTCAGGAAAGATTTCCCCATTAAGTATGGGTTATAGTGGTTTGATAATACCCCATATGGGACGTGTGATGGCTGAAGTTGTGGTGGAAATCTATGAGGGAATTTAAGTTGCCTGTCCAGAGGATGAAAATATTGATGTATCTCAGGTATATTTTTGGTTTCATGGTGCATTTGTCAATACATTCTTCTTCAAGGGGGTCCATGAAGAGGTTAGCATATAGGGGAGCCATCCTAGTACCCATGGTTGTTCCCATGGTTTGGACAAAGTATTTGTTGTTGAATGTAAAATTGTTATGAATGAGGATGAAATGGATGAGTTTGGTGATGTATTTGGGGTGGATCTCTGAGGGTTGTCCATTGTCTTGTAAATACTTGAGGCAGGCAGCTATGCCATCATTATGTGGGATGTTGGTGTCCAGTCTAGAAAATCCATACCAGGCACAAATCAGCCCTTTCAAATACAGCAACTCAATACTTATTCATATTAAACATAACACAGTGCCATATTTCACAATAACTGCACAGTAGTTTCATGTTAAATCCAAAGGAAACAATGGCAACTAAGCTACTGTACATTTCTATGATTTGGAGGATATTATAATACTTCTATATACAGAAGTAGAGCTACTAAAAGGACATATTGCAATGTAATGGTGCCTGTGTTTGGTACCCCTTCAGCCAAGTAGCAACCACATTTGGAGCCTGTTGGGATGGGAAATTGGTGGTATAGGGTCAGAGGGGAAATTCTGGCCCCATTGAATTCTGTGGTGTCCGGATTTCACCCAGGGTATATTTTTTGTGTGTAGTTTGTTTACAACATATTCACAAAATCCTGTTTCTCTGAACAGTGGGAAGAACAATTTTCATGCAGGCAGCCCTATTTTGCAGAGATGCTAGGTAAGGCACTCCAGCCCTGTCCCAAGAAACAGCTGTTTTTTTGCCCCTGCTTCTCTCAGGCTGTGCCCTGACTAGGAAAAAAGGTGGGTTCTTACCTTGAGTTTTAGTTAACAAACATGAGGGTAAAATCATCATGAATATGTGAAAGTTTGTAGTTTTCACACAAGTTAGCTGGGTCAAAGCAAGTACATTTAAAATTTTGAACAGAAGTCCTAATACTTTATCAGTACTCTATCAACTCCAAGCAAGACTGGGTGAAAACTGAATAAGGACCTCAGGATTTTGCCCAGTGAATAGAGACACAAAAATTGAGATCCAGAGTTTATTTACACTGAGTAGAATGAATCTCTTCTCTTAAGTTGTAAAAAGATGTGTACATTTTTTTAAGGCCGGTTCTCTTTCAACTATTTGCCTCTGTGAAAAGGAAACAAGGAATCTTTCTGTAATATGTTCATTTACGCTCACAGGCTGAGGGCTAAGGTGAAGCAAGAGAAGAAGGAATCCTCCCCTGGGCCGTGAAGCTGCTCTGGACCCATTCCACAAGTGCTTCAGCAGCACTGGGACTCAGGTAGCTCTCACGGTTCTAACATGCCCCATCTAGCAGCAAAGGAGGTGGATCTATGTAACAGTGCATTCTTTGGCCTTCCCCAGCCCACAATTGGTTTTGCCCTCATTTGGCCATTGTGTGCTGATGTGCAGGGAGCCACTGTGGACACCCTCCAGCCCCAAATTCTTGCCCTGGCCCTTGCTCAGAAGAATTATGCTGGTTTTATTGCCAGTGAGCCTTTCACAATTATTTGAGGGAGCAGGATTTTTCCCTTAAAGCACTGTATTCAGTTTGCTCCTCTCCCACTTGCTGTCTCTCTCCTTCATAAATGCATTCAGATAGTAGGATGGTGCAAGTGCAAAATATTTTTTCTTTACCATTTTGAATGACATCCCCAAGTGAACTCCATTCCTCCTTTCATCATTAAAACACTTCTGTGGAGACTGAAATCTATTCATCATGGGAAATATTTTCATGTTGTTAGTGCTTTTATGAAGGAGCATTTCCACAGCATTTATTAGGCAATAAGATCACAAGACATAAACACCAGGAAAGTTTTAGATGAGAAGAAATCTAAAAAGGACCTTCAAAATCAGGGCAAACATGTTGTGCCAGAGATTTGAAAAGTGTTCCAAAGAAGCTTTATCTTGGTTTTAGGGAAGGGTGGAGGGGGTGGGGGAGAAAGGAAGGAGGCAGAAACCCAGCATTATCCTCTTGGACCAAGGACATATCTTTGCAATTAAATCCAAATTATTCTGAATCATATGTTGACTATCTGTTCAGTAAGGGTATCGGCATTCCTCCATCAGCAGCTACAAGGATTGTGAGGCAATAGTCATCTAAAGGATTCACTGAACTGGAAAATGCAGTTCTGTCTGTGAACTCCAAAGTGTTTAAAATCTATGGTTATGTGATGAAGATGAAGGGAGCCATTTAAAACTGCTTAACTGAATTTTTGCCTAAAGATATAGCAACTGAATGAGGTAAAAATTCCTAGAGAAAAGGAAATAAGATCATGGTTTATTTTTACTTTGACAGCCCTGTAAAAAGGTCAAATGTTTCTACTCCCTCAGACGTGACCTACTGGGAAGAAGCTCATGCCTATTTCCAATGTTAGTAATGTTCAGGAAGGCTAGTGTTTAGAGGTCCATGCTGATGACGGGTTCTGCTCGATAACCATCCAAAACAGTGCAGATGGACGCATGTTCATTTTCATCATCTGAGTCAGATGACATCAGTAGAAGGTTGATTTTCTTTTTTGGTGGTTTGGGTTCTGTAGTTTCCGCATCAGAGTGTTGCTCTTTTAAGACTTCTGAAAGCATACTCCATGCCTTCTCCCCTCTCAGATTTTGAAAGGCACTTCAGATTCTTAAATCTTGGGTCAAGTGCTGTAGCTATCTTTAGACATTTGACATTGATATCTTTTTTGCATTTTGTCAAATTTGCAGTGAAAGTGTTTTTAAAATGAACAACATGTGCTGGGTCATCATCCGAGACTGCTATAATATGAAATATATGGCAGAATGTGGGTAAAACAGAGCAGGAGTTCTCCCCCAAGGAGTTCAGTCTCAAATTTAATTAATGCATTATTTTTTTAATGAGCATCATTAGCATGAAAGCATGTCCTCTGAAACGATGGCCGAAGCATGAAGAGGCATATGAATCTTCAGCGCATCTGGCACATAGGTATCTTGTGACACCAGCTACAACAGTTCCATGCGAACACCTGTTCTCAATTTCACATTACATTGTAATAAAGAAGTGGGCAGCGTTATCTCCCGTAAATGTAAACAAACTTTTCACATTTCTCTTAGCGATTGGCTGAACAAGAAGTAGGACTGAGTGGACTTGTAGGCTCTAAAGTTTTACATTGTTTTGTTTTTGAGTGCAGTTATGTAAAAAAAAAACCCCTACATTTGTAAGTTGCACTTTCATGATAAAGAAATTGTACTTGTATGAGGTGAACTGAAAAATACTGTTTCTTTTGTTTATCATTTTTACAATGCAAATATTTGTAATAAAAATAATATAAAATGAACACTGTACACTTTGTAGTCTGTGTTGTAATTGAAATCGATATATTTGAAAATGTAGAAAAACATCCAAAAATATTTAATAAATGTCAATTTGTGTTCTATTGTTTAACAGTGTGATTAATCATAATTAATTTTTTTAATCGTGATTAATTTTTGAATTAATCATGTGAGTTTGATGTGATTAATCGACCGCCCTAGTTTAAACCACTTGCTGGTAACTCACATTCACCCAGACATGCCCATGAAAGTACTGGTCAGGGACGCCCTTCAGTTGTAACGAGTAAGAAGGCTGCTTGTAACCTTGTAAATGCCAGACTCAATCACTAGTTAGCTGAAATTATGGTGCGTGATTCACAGCAGGATATGAGAATATTTAGCAATAGCTGTGATAGGGAAGAATGAAAACAGGACTATGATCTGAACATGGTAATGTGTATGTTAGGAGGCTGAGAGATCTAGTCCTTTAGAATACACTTCAGTGGTTGTGATGAAATTACCCTTTTCATTTGCTGTTCCAGTATTGTTTTATATAGCTCTGTGTGTCTTCTTTGCTATTCTCTTTTCCATCAGCAAAAATCCCAGAATTGTACTGGCATTACTTAGATTTGCTTTTTGAAAAATGATAGAAAGACAAAATACAATAATCAATACAGAAAACGCTTTTAATAAAAAAATAGAAATCAGAGTTAGAAATAACTCATTAGGTCAGTCAGTGTGTCTCTCTACCAGTACAGGGTTGTTCCCTATTATATAATTTCCATTGTTGTATCCATTCGAGTTTTAAAAAGCTTCTAGCATTTCTTTTGGGTGACTTTCCACAGCCTAACAGAGCTCAATATGTGATATCAAGTCTAATGTTTCCTTTCTAAATCTCATCCTATTATTACATCTAGATTATAACTCTTAGTTATAACCTTGTGCTCCACCCTAAACAATCCTCTCCATCCCTGAAGTTTATACCCTTCAGATCTTGTTTCCATGTTTCCAACTTCCACACCTATTAACTAAACAGAAATCCTTGCTTTTCCTTCCTTTTATTCAGATCCCTTGGGCCTCGTTCTCCTCTTACATACACTGGAATGAGTCATTCCATTGAAGCTACACCAGTATAAAACTTGTGTAAGAGGAAAATTGGTCATTAGGTGCCTGATTCTGATTTTACTTTTTATACTGGGCTACCCAGGGTAACTCTATTAAATTCAATGGTGTTATTTCTGATTTACACTAAGGAGCAAGTGTAGAGTATTCCCCTGAGATACTGGAAAGACACACAAATCAGGATTGGGCCCTCATTATACTAAACGCTGTATACACACAGGGTAAATGACTAACCCTGTTCTGAGTATTTTACAGTCTAAGACAAGATGCAGCAAATTGAACAAACACGGAAAGGGAAGGAAAGATGAGAAAAACAGTAAATGAAAGGACTTCTTGAGTCAGATTTTGAAATTATTACTATTATCCCAATTTCTCTACAGAGGAATAATGGAGAAATTAGCAGATGAAATGAAAAACTGGGGCTTTGTACAGACAAAATTGAAAACAAAGCCAAGTAATATATTTTATGAGATACACAGTATCTTGAGATTGGGATGGAGCCCGAATTGTGTAGTAATGCAAGAGTTCTCCAGCATATGCTATAGGATTATAGAAAACTTAATTATAAATCAGTGAAAATATACAACAAAGCTTTTAAAAACTGTCACATTCTTTTGAAAGCTCTCAGAGAAATTAAATGAGCTGGAGTGATGACAGAAATATCAAAACAATATAAATGGTGCTATTAAGAATTAAAACTGTAGCTCGCTCTTGTTGGCAGACATGGGATGATTATAAATAGGTCGCCTTTGTTCCACGTAAAGTCAACAATCACACTCCTAATAAGTGTCCCCAATGGCATAGCACAATAATGCTTAAGAAGCTAGAATATTTAATTCACCAAATAGTGTGGTTTTATTGCACAATTGGCTTAATTAGCAACCTCCAAATAACAATTTTAAAGTCTCCAGTTTCCTAAATCTTTCTGAATCAGGAGCACTCTGTTTTCAAAATGCAGGCTTCATTAAAAGAAATGACTCACTGTACAGACATTTCCTAGACATCAAGAAAAGGAATACTTGTGGCACCTTAGAGACTAACCAATTTATTTGAGCATAAGCTTTCGTGAGCTACAGCTCACTTCATCAGATGCATTCAGTGGAAAATACAGTGAGGAGATTTATATACACACAGAACATGAAAAAATGGGTGTTTATCATGCACACTGTAAGGAGAGCGATCACTTAAGATGAGCTATTACCAGCAGGAGAGTGGGGGGGGGGAGAGAAAACCCTTTGTAGTGATAATCAAGGTGCGCCATTTCCAGCAGTTAACAAGAACATTTGAGGAACAGTTGGGGGAGGGAGGAATAAACAAGGGGAAATAGTTTTACTTTGTGTAATGACTCAACCACTCCCAGTCTCTATTCAAGCCTAAGTTAACTGTATCCAATTTGCAAATCAATTCCAATTCAGCAGTCTCTCATTGGAGTCTGTTTCTGAAGGCTTTTTGTTGACGAATAGCCACTTTTAGGTCAGAAATCGAGTGACCAGAGAGATTGAAGTGTTCTCCGACTGGTTTATGAATGTTATAATTCTTGACATCTGATTTGTGTCCATTTATTCTTTTACGTAGAAACTGTCCAGTTTGACCAAGGTACATGGCAGAGGGGCACTGCTGGCACATGATGGCATATATCACATTGGTGGATGTGCAGGTGAACGAGCCTCTGATCGTGTGGCTGATGTTATTAGGCCCTGTGATGGTGTCCCCTGAATAGATATGTGGGCACAGTTGGGAACGGGCTTTGTTGCAAGGATAGGTTCCTGGGTTAGTGATTCTGTTGTGTGGTGTGTGGTTGCTGGTGAGTATTTACTTCAGGTTGGGGGGCTGTCTGTAGGCAAGGACTGGCCTGTCTCCCAAGATTTGTGAGAGCGATGGGTCGTC